CCACAATGAATGTCAACAGAGATGTTCTCAACCCCTCTCTTCACTGTTCTTGGTCGACCCTGTTCAGTGGGTGTTGAACCCCATTCATCAGACCCTGCAACTGGCTGGTAATGCACCATAAGCTTTGGATTGTGTAATATAATAATTTCTCTGTTGGGAGACTCCAGTTTCTTTTTCCACTCATCCAGAGTTACAGCAAGCCATGTACGTTTCCTCTAATACTTGGCTGCAGCTGAGTAGGGAACGTACTTATTATCTTTGTCTCCCTTGTAAAACCAGGTACATCGTCTCACCTCTGATGCCAGCTCATCCCAGTATACAGCACACCGCATCCTCTCCCCCAAATGCACATATCTGCCCCCATCAGTGGGGACAACTCTCCCATTACAATCTTTTCCAGAACCATATGCCTCTTCCAGCTGCTGTGAATCCTCAGAGTTGAAAGGAATCCATGTCTCCTTAGAATCTATTATTTTACAATAAAACCAATGAGGAGAAACTGGCTCATACAAACTGCCAGCATCCATGTCTAGTAGTTCAAAGGAACTACATGAGTTTGGTGATGGGGATGGATCTGACTGGGACAATTGTTGCTGGTGTGATTCCACTGATGACATTTCGCTCTCTGAGGGGAGTGAGCATTGTGGGTATCTCAGCACCGAGCGCAGCCGGATGGCAAACACCTGGCCTCCTCTGAGCGAAGCTCGCCTGGCTTTCGGCCACTTTATCCTTTTTCCTAGCACCAATTTACCTCCGCCACCTTGGCGCGTCCCTCTCCCCCACGACCCTGGGCCTCCTGCAGCCCAGATCTGGGACCTCAGAGCTCGGGGACTTGCATCCTCCCGCTTCCAGCCCTGACAGCCCCGCTGCCTCTCACACACTCCTGCCCTCGCTGAGGGGGGCACGACATGTCCCCGCGGCGGCCTCCCCCCCCCCACGAGCGCAGGCGGGGCGGGGCGCAGCAGGGCGGAGCCTGCGGCCCCGCCGGGCTCGTGCCCAACACTGGGCTCCACTGCGCTCCCAGCGGGGGAGCAGCGGGTCGGGCTACCGAGAGCCTACAGCATCCATTCTTGATAAAAACCCTCAACAAAGTAGGTTTCGAGGGAACATACCTCAACATCATAAAGGCCATACACAAAAAACCCACAGCTAATATCATCCTCAATGGGGAAAAACTGAGAGCTTTTCCTCTACAGTCAGCAACATGACAGGGATGTCCACTCTCACCACTGTTATTTAACATGGTACTGGAAGTCCTAGCCTCAGCAGACAACAAAAAGATATAAAAGGCATCCAAATCGGCAAGGAAGAAGTCAAACTTTCACTATTTCCAGACAACAGGATACTCTATGTAGGAAACCTGGAAGATTCCACCAAAAAAATTGTTAGAATATGTGAATTCAGCAAAGTTACAGGATATAAAAATCAGTGTACAGAAATCTGTTGCATTTCCATACATCAATAATGAAGCAGAAAGAGAAATCAAGGAATCGATCCCATTTACAGTTGCATCAAAAACAATAAGATATCTAAGAATAAACCTCACCAAAGAGGTAAAGGATCTGTACTCTGAAAACTATAGAATACTTATGAAAGCAACTGAAGACAACACAAAGAAATGGAAAAACATTTCCATGCTCATGGATTAGAAGAACACTATTAAAATGTCTATACTACCCAGAGCAATCTACACATTTAATGCAATCTCTATCAAAATACCAATAGCATTTTTCACAGAACTAGAAGAAACAATCCCAAAATTTGTATGGAACCACAAAAGACCCAAATAGCCAAAGCAATCCTGAAAAAGAAAAGCAAAGCTGGTGGCATCACAATTCCGGACTTCAAGCTCTATTACAAAGCTGTAGTCATCAAGACAGTATGGCACTGGCACAAATAGAGACACATAGATCAACGGAACAGAACAGAGAACCCAGAAATGGACCCACAATTATATGCCAACTAATCTTCAAACAAAGCAGGAAAGAATACCCAATGTAGAAAAGACAGTCTCTTCAACAAATCGTGTTGGGAAAACTGGACAGCTACATGCAGAAGAATGAAACTGGACCACCTTCTTGCACCATACACAAAAATAAATTCAAAATGGATGAAAGACCCAAATGTGAGACAGGAAACCATCAAAATCCTAGAGGAGAAGACAGGCAGCAACCTCTTTGACCTCAGCCACGGCAACTTCTTACTAGACACGTCTCTGGAGGCAAGGGAAGCAAGGGCAAAAATGAACTATTGGGACTTTATCAAGAGAAAAAGCTTCTGCACAGCGAAGGAAACAGTCCACAGAACTAAAAGGCAACCTATGGTATGGGAGAAGATATCTGCAAATGACGAATCTGATAAAGGGTTAGTATTCAAAATCTACAAAGAACTTATCAAACTCAACACCCAAAAACAATCCAGTCAAGAAATGGGTAGAACACATGAATCAACATTTTTCCAAAGATGACATCCAGATGGCTAACAGACACATGAAAAGATGCTCAACATCACTCATCATCAGGGAAATACAAATCAAAACCACAGTGCAATACCACCTCACACCTGTCAGAATGGCTAAAATTAACAACACAGGAAACAACAGGTGTTGGCGAGGTTGCAGAGAAAGGGGAACCCTCTTACACTGCTGGTGGAAATGCAAACTGGTGCAGCTACTCTGGAAGACAGTATGGAGGTTCCTCAAAGAGTTAAAAAATGGAGCTACCCTGGGCGCCTGGGTGGCTCAGCTGGTTAAGCGACTGTCTTCGGCTCAGGTCATGATCCTGGAGTCCCAGGATCGAGTCCCGCATCGGGCTCCCTGCTCAGCAGTGAGTCTGCTTCTCCCTCGGACCCTCCCCGCCTCATGCTCTCTCTCATTCTCTCTCAAATAAATAAAAATCTTAAAAAAAAAAAAATGGAGCTACCCTATGACCCAGCAATTGCACTACTAGGTATTTACCCAAAGGATACAAAAATACCGATTCAAAGGCATACATGCACATCGATGTTTGTAGCAGCAGCATCAACAACAGCCAAACTATGGACGAAGCCCAAATGTCCATCAACTGGTAAGTGGATAAAGATATGGTATGTATATATACATACATACATATATGTATACATACATACACACAATGAAGTATTAGTCATCAAAAAGAATGAAATCTTGCCATTTGCAACAACATGAATGGAGCTAGAAGGTATTATGCTAAGTGAAATCAGAGAAAGACAAATATCGTATGATTTCATTCATATGTGGAATTTAAGAAACAAAACAGATGAACATATGGAAAGGGGGAAGAAAGACAGTGGGAAGCAAACCATAAGAGACTCTCAACTATAGAGAACAGAGGGTTGAGGGGGGGATGTGGATGGGGGATGGGCATTAAGGAGGGCACTTGTTGGGATGAGCACTGGGTGTTATATGTAAGTGATGAACCACTAAATTCTACTCCCAAAGCCAATATTACACCATGTGTTAACTAGAATTTCAGTAAAAATTTGAGGAAAAAAAGAAATGGGGAAAAGACTTGAATTGACATTTCACCAAGAAAGACATAAATGATTAATACTCATATGAGAAGATGTTCATCATCACGGAAATGCAAATTTTTTTTAAAGAT